CTACGACAGTTATCATGCGCACCAACCAGCCAGACTGCAGACGGATATCACCAGCTCAACTCCAAATGTCCTGCAACAGATTTGGTCCAAAGAGACCTAGGGTCTAAAATCGTTGTTTCGATGAGTCACGTTTTGGCCGTATGAAATGATATCTACCTTCTCTATATATGGCTGAGGCAGTAAAAATATCTACTACCAACGAAAATGAGGTTCGAATCCGTCATTTGAATGACGTGCATTTTTATACCCTCCACCGTAGTACGTTTGGGTATAGCCCTCATATAATGGTACCTCCCTTTTTCGGTACTTTGATGATTTAAGCGACATTAATCACCGGAAATGCTTTAGATTTGGTATTTTAAGTTCTTAATGGGTACTACAGCCCATGACAGAACATTGTCTACGCAGGTCCATGTCTTCATATATCCCCCATAAAACGGTACCCTCGATATTCGATACTTTGATGATTTTAGCGACATTATTCACCGGAATTGTTTCAAATTTGGTATTTGAAGTTCGTATTGGGTACTAGAGCCTATGACAGAAATTTGTCTGTGCTGGTCCACGTTTTATAACCCCCATGGTACCTCCCAATATTCGGTATCTTGATAATTTTAGCTACATTATAAACAGATTTTTTTCAAGTTTCGCATTTGAATATTGTAATAGCTTGTGACAAAAGTTGAAGGTCCACTTCATCGTATAGACCCTAATATACGGCTAAATTCGGTATTTTTAAGATTTTAACAGAATTTTTAACGGATTTTATTTTTTTGAAAATTGCCAAATTTGTACCGAATGGTGGAGTTCGGCCCGGCCGAACTTGTAGCTTTTTTGCTTGTTTTTTTTTTTGAGAATTTCGACCTTTTGTTGTGGATTTGCCATCTCCGAAACCGATCTAAGTTTGATACTCTCTACGATAGTTATCGTGCGCACCAGCCATCCAGACGAACGGACGGACATTGCTAGATCATCTCCAAATGTCCTAAAATGAATTTGGTCCAAAGAGATCTAGGGTTTAAATCCGTTATGAGGCACGTTTTAGCCATATCTAGCCATATGGCTGAGGGGGTATAAAAATGTCTACTTCCAACGTAAATAAGGTTTGAATCCCTCATTTTAATGAAACGTATTTTTAAGTTAAAAATTTACTAGAATTCCCCTTCTACCCTCGTATTACAACAGCTATCTTGTATTTTTATAAGCGCTGAACCGGAGAGGGCGATTGTGTTGGCAGCATGTGTGGATACATTTGTCGTTGTAATGGCTGGATCTCGTTCGTCGGATAGACGGATGGATGGACAGTATTAAAATCTTAATAACAAAAACAAGTTTCTGCTCTACTATAAAGTTCGTTTTACAGCGATTTGTTGTTGGCTTTTTGTCTGGGATACTCTTGGTGTTGTTGTTGCTGTTGATGATGTTTTTCTTAGTAGTTTGCTCTTGTTGATTACAGTTGTTTAGCCTTTCGAGTTCGAGGAGGGAGAAGGGGGAGGGGGAGGCTTTCTGTATTATGTGGAGTTCAACATCAACCACTGACAGACAGCGAACGACTCGGTCAGACGGTGGTGGTGTTGGCGGCGTTAAACAAAACGACAAGAAAACAAGCAAAAGCAAAATTGAAAAGAAAAATAAACAAGATCAGCTGTAATGAAGAAACACAATGGAAAAAATGAAATAATTCAAAATTACAAAGAGCGAGCCACCGACAGACAGATGGGAGTAACAACAACAACAACTCGCTCACATAAATAAATAAATAATGCAACAAATGGTGGTTTCTTTGAAAATCACTTGTAAAATTGGGGGGATATTCATTTTTGTTTGAGAGAGAACAATAACACAAGAGAGAGAGATAGAGAGAGAGAATGAGAGTAAACAAAATGACTGAGGTGGGGAAAACAACCATATCACACAGATACTCACTCCAGCACGCACTTGAAAAAAAGTACGACTTGATTAATGCAGTTCTAATCTAATGAGAAAATTGTTGAAAACGAAATAATAAAAAAACAACAGCACAAAAAATAAACGAGAAAATCCAATTCCAGTGTCCAGTGCCACCAACCCGTATAATCACATTAATCGAGTAGCTAGAGTGGCCCTCATCATTGACACGAATATTAGGGGTAGAGAAAAGTTTGTGTGTGTTTTTTTTTTTTTTTGTCCAGCAACAACAAGGTGCGGTTTAATTGATTTATGAGCCATAATAAAGTTGGAATTGAGCTTCTGAGATGATACCAAATTGTATAGAGTTTACTGGGAGAGGGAAGATATTTGGAGTAGTGACATTTTGGGGACCACTCCACATTAGTTTTTTACAACTCCGGAGTTGACTCGGAATAATTGAAAGTTGCAGTAAAAATTGTATCTATTCTTTTTATTGAAGAGGGGCGGGAGCTTAGCAAGCTGAAGTTATCGTTAACGTAAAACTCTATTATTAAACCATGGTGGAGGGTTTAATAATAGAGTTTTACGTTAACGATAACTTCGGCTTGCTAAGATCCATGGAGGGTATATTAACTTTGTCATTCCGTTTTTAACTCCTCGAAGTAATCATGTTAGACCATTCAAAGTATATATATATTGTGGATCGGCACAAAACTCTAAGTCGATTTAGCGATGTCCGTCTCTCGGCCTGTCTGATGTAGTGGCGCTATCTTTCGTACGAATTGAGATAGAGGGCTAAGATTTTGCACACGTGAGTATTTTGTCTGTAGGCAGATTAAGTTAGTAAATGGGCCATGTAGGTCCACGTTTTCGTATAGCTCCCATAGAACGATATCTCCAAATATTCGGTATTTTGACGATTTTGGCGACATTATTTACCGGAAATTTCGTATTTAAAGATCATAATGGGTACTATGGCCTATGACAAAATATCGCATATGCAGCTCCACGTCTTCGTATGGCCCCATATAACGGTACCTCCCAATATTCGGTATTTTGATGATATTGGCTACATTATTTACCGGAATTATTTCAAATTTCCTATTTAAAGTTCGTAATGGATACTTTAACCTATGACAGAAAATTGTCTATGCAGGTCAGCGACTTCTTTTAGCCCTCATATAACGGTAGCCCCCTTTATTCGGTATTTTGATGGTATTAGCGACATTATCCACCGGAATTGTTTCAAACTTAGTATTTGAAGTTCGGAATCGGTACTACAGCCTATGACAAAAAATTACTTATACAGGATTTCGTCTTCGTATAGCTCCCATATACGGTTTTCATTTAAGAGTTATTTTTCTACGAACGTAAAAAAAATCCTGTTCCTTGGTGACCCTTTGTGAGTGAGGTACCAGAGGGGGCTCGCAAACATATATCATCTACACAATCGAACGTTTATTTCGTTTTTTTGTTTCTCAAATTCTTGAACCCCATGTAAGAGAAGGTACCAGAATGAATGGTCTTTAGAGCAGATCTCGTGTTAATGGAAATATTGAGATGTACCAAGTCTGAATGGACTCGGTTGTCAATTTCGCGTTATATGAGCTTCATGGATATACAAAATTTTGACCCTTTGTGGGGGAGCTACCAGAAGGAGTGGACTGATATATCCCATCTTTGCAGAATATCTAGTTTTGGCAGAAATAATGGGAATCTGTGAAATATGAAGAGAACCGGATGTCTATTTCGGATTTTATAATCATTTTGGTCATTCAAAACTTTGACCCTTTGTGGGAGAGGTACCAGAAGGAATGGTCCGATCTCTACTATATTTAAAACATATCTTGTGTTAATGGTAATATTGACATGTACCAAGTTTGAATGGAATCGGATATTAATTTCGCGTTTATGACTTTCATTAATATTCAAAATTTTGACCCTTTGTGGGGGAGATACCAGTAGGAGTGGACCGATATATCCCATATTCACACCAGACATTGGGTTAATAAAAACATTATGATGTGTGCAGTTTGAAGACAATCGGACTCTTACATCCCATTTTATAAGAGTTATAATTATTTAAAATGTTAACCCTTTGTGGGGGAGGTATTTGATAGAGTGGACCGATATTATCCATTTTCGCACCTAATCTAGCACTGATTCAAATATTAGGACTTGAAAAGTTGGAGCAAAATCGAATTATCCTATCTCTCTCTCTCTGTGCAGAAAAATATTTTCTTTGCAAATTTCGACCTTTTGTTGGAAGGTACCAGAAGTGGACCGATATTGCCCATCTCCGAACTCGGCCTACGTTTGAAAATAATATTACGATGTACCAAGTTTGGTCCAAATTGGATAGTTACTTCGAGAGTTATCGAGCGCAGACAGACGGGCTGGGTATTCGGTATAACGGCAAGGGCGAAATCTAAACACCTCGTTGATAATAGAAAAAAATCATAATTTTATGATGGCCAGAAATACGTCGACATTTTTTGGGTACTTTTCATTTAAAAACAAACAAAATTGATCTTGTTTACAAAGTTTTCCAAATTTTTGATTTTTCATTGCAAACAAACAACTTAATTTTTACAACCAAATTTCAGGTCAAATTGGCAAAAACTTTTTCGACTACCTAAGACTAATTGTTTACGGGGTTTTTAATCGTAGCATGGCGAACATACATACCTACCAACACACGCACAGCATATAAACATATGAAAACCCGGTTGTTTTCCAACTGGATAACAGCAACAACAAGAAAACAATCTACTAGGTTTGTTATTATTTTTCTACCAGTTGAAATGGTGAAATGGCACACACACACTCACTCACTCACACACCAATGAACTCTTAATAATAACAATCATGCACTCACTCTCTTTCGTGTGTAAAGGAATTAACGGAAACATTACTAGTTCAACTAGTAGTTGTAATAATGGAAAGAGAGTGGGAGATTAATTTGGGGGGAGAATTGTGAGAGAGCATCTCAAACTGTTGCTTGTGTTGTTTGGTTTGGAAAAAGAAACAAAAAAAAAACAACCTGCCAGCCAACCCACCCATTTGTGTGGTGAGTACCCGAGAGTGTAAAGAGAAAGTGATAACCCAACAATTTAGTGAGAGCTGATCGAAGAAATAAATATCAATGAGAATGGCTATCTGGCAGATAAACAAGTTCAACAGAGACACAATTTAGTATTCATTTAACGGCGAAGGCGATCGTATCGTGTGGAGTGGAAACTTGTTGATGTCATCGGTGTCAGTGAAGAAAAAAGCAAAAAAATGAATGGCAAATGAAAATAAAAAAAGGAAAAATCAACAGCACGGCTGCGACGATTTGTGTTTGAAAGTGCGTTTTGCCAAATACATGTTGTTCTTTGAGAAAATTCGAAACTTGAAAAATCACGAAAAGTAATTAATGTTTGTTTTTTTTTAAGAAAAAATAATTTATATTTTTTAATTTACGTTAAAGTCAAAGAGAAAGTCTTAATCTTCGTTTAACGAGCAAAACAAATGAAGTTACGTGCTGGCGGTTATGCCATATGTTCGATAAGTTAATTGGCCTGTTCGAAACAAAAAAATTAAAACCAATTTTGTGTTAAAAAAATAATTACCAAAAAAATTAAAAAAAAAAACAAAAATTCGAAAAATAAAAAATGAAATTATTACAAATGATTGTAAAGTGAAGTGTTCCTTGTCCCAACAACAGCAACAAAAATAATATTAATTACCAAAGATATCTGAAGAAGGAAAAAGTCTGTCTCAAATATTTCATAATTTTATTAAATTCACACCAACACCAATACTCAACGTCGTACAGAATAAATAAAATGATCCGTCCTCAGAAATTATCATTTTCTCCACAAACAAAAACAACAACAACAACAATGTGGGTCATTGTCCAGTTTTGTTTGTTGTTCTTAGCGACAACAATTCCCCCCGCTTACTGTGATAAAGATTTTACAACAACAACAACACCCAGCCATGGAATAAATAACAACAACATCAGCAACAACGATAAACTCTTACATCGAGTTGCCCGCTTGACCAAAGTCGACTATTCACTGCTCAAAGATGAAACGAATCGAACCAACAGCAACAACCCCATCATAGCTGGCAGTGGCGGTGCTGCTGCGATTCCATATCCCTACAGTGCTCCGCCGGGCGGCTATTTAGCCTCCAACGGCCTGCGCACCCTACTCAAACCCCAAAAATTCTATACGAAACAACAGCGCTTTTCTTCCGATAAGAAAAATCCCAATCTGGTTAGCCTGAATCTAGTCACGGAGCCGCGCAAGAATATCTGCGATGGCCATTGCCAGTGCGAGAAGCAGAACTCCTTTACAACGGTCACATGTGATTTTAAGAAAAATCCAAAGGTAAGTTAAAAAAAATTGTTGAGTTTAAAATCGGAGACAAAAAATTCTTTAAAAATCGAGTCGTAGTTAAGCTTTAGTTCCTCCAAAAATTTCTTAAAAAATCCAGTCGAAGTTAAGCTTTAGTACCTCCAATAGCCCACGCTTAGTCCTGAAATAGTTCCTCCAAAAATTTCTTTAAAAAGCCCACGCTTTGTTCAAAAATAGTTCCTTCAAAAATGTCTTTAAAAAGCTCATGCTCAGATCTGAAATAGTTCCTCCAAAAATTTCTTTAAAAAGCCCACGCTTAGTCCTGAAATATTTCCTCCAAAAATTTCTTTAAAAAGCCCACGCTCAGTTCTGAAATAGTTCCTCCAAAAATTTCTTTAACAAACCACGCTCAATTCAGCTATAGTACCTTTGAAAAAAACACACATAGCTTAGCTATAGTTCCTCCGAGGATCTCGTTAAAAATCCATGCTTATCTCAGCTATAGTCCCTCTAAAGATCCTCTAATTTTTTTTAAGAATCCACTCCAAACTTATCTACTGTCTCTCCAAAACTCAATTAAAAATCCCAGCTATAGCCCCTCCAAAAAGCTCCCATATAGCTCAGTTGTATGTAGCTTTGCCTAGCTGAAGTCACTCCAAAAAATTCTCTTAAAATCCAACCTTAAACCAGCCAAAATATTCTTACAAATCCACGCGTAGTCCGTAGTTCTCTTCAAAAATAAAAGAGAATTTGTTCAACTTTTGAAAAAAAGTTACGCCCTGCTGAACTTAGCTGATTGTTAACTAGTTTTTTTTTTCTATTACTTTATTTTTCCCATTATTCTGAAATGCTCGCTCAATATCGAGTAAAGAGTAAAACTTGCTCGAATTAGAGCGGAAGTATTATAAAGAGAAATCGAGTATAAAAAGAGAATTCGAGTACAAAAAGAGAAATCGAGTATACTCTATTTTTCTATACCACTGGAATAAAAGCCAAAAAGCCTGTCTCGTTTTCGAGTGAGAGTAAACTCCGCTCGAATTTGAGCAGATATTATTCTTCCCGGTATTTTGATGATTGTAGCCAAATGTTTCAATGAAATTTTCTGAAAATCCACACAAGTAGTTCCTTCTGAGTACTTCACCCCCTGGAAGAGTATAGTCTATATAGGTCCAAGACAGCATATAGACCCCCATATAACGGTACCCCCCCCCCCCATATACCGGTATTTTGATGATTGAAGCCAAATTTGTCAATGAAATTGTCTTAAAAACCACACAAGGAGTTCTTTCTAAGCATTTTACACCCTGGAAGAGAATTGTCTGTGTAGGTCCACGATATCGTACAGCTCCCATACAACAGTACCCCTTGATATTCGGTATTTTGATGATTTTAGCTAGATTATTTACCGGAATTGTTTGAAATTTCGTATTTGAAGTTCGTAATGGGTACTACACGCTGTAACAAAATATTGCGTATGCAGACCCACATCTTCGTATAGCCCCCATAAAGCTGTGCCTCCCTGTATTCGATATTTTGACGATTTTAGGTTCAAATTTCTCCGGAATTGTTCCAAATTGTGCATTTGGAGTTCCTAATAGGTACTACAACCTGTGACATGAAATATTCTATACAGGTCAAGGTCTTCGTATAGGTCCCATATATCAGTACCTCCCTATATTACGTATTTTTACGATTTTAAGTACAATATTCTCCGGAATTGTTTCAAATTTGGTATTTGAAGTTCCTAATGGGTACTACAGCCTGTCACAAAAAATCGTGTATGCAGGTCCAGGCCTTCGTATAGCCCCCCATATAACGGCACCTGCCTATATTCCGTATTTTGATGATTTTAGGTACAAATTTCTTCGGAATGGTTCAAATTTCGTAATTCAAGTTCCTTATGGGTACTACAGCCTGTGACAGAAAATTGTCTATGCAGGTCAGGGTCTTCGTATAGCCACCATATATCGGTACCTCCCTATATCAGGATGTTTTTAATTTTCGTATTTTAATATTGTAATGGTCTATGTCAAAAGTTACCTATGCCGGTTCACCACTTCGTATAGACCCCATTATAACGTCTATATTCGGAATTTTTAAAATTCTAACAGAATTTTCCAAAATTTCCACCAAAGAGTCATTTGAGGTGAATACCTCCCATCTTTGTCATTGGTACCTCAAAGTAAACAAAACGGCGTTCTTTTAAGAATGCAAAAATATCGAAAAACCATAAAATTTAGTTTGCCATTAAATAATAATTTACAGCAATGTAAACAATTGCCATTAAAACAATTTGTTTGTTTACATTTTTACCAAAAAAAAAAAGAACTGCTAAAATCTTGATAAATATTTAACCACCAGGCAATTTATATTTTGATCAGGTTTGCTAGGCTAGAGCGTTTTGCACTTTCCCAGAATATATCTCCGACAAAAATGTATGCTGCTATTTTGCCAATAAAAACAACAACAACAACAACGAAATGAGACGACGCATAAAAAAGCCCACAAAAAAAAATAATATAAAAATATATCCACTTTTTGAACAAAAGGCGAGACAAGCGAACACAAAACAGCAGCAACAACAACAACAAAATTAGCATACTTGTCGATCTGGTGTTTTCTTTTTTTTAAATGCTGACTGACAAAACCAATCTATAGAAGAAGAAGAACAAAAAAAAAACAGGGAACAAAAAATGACTAAACGCCGCCGATGACTTCCAGCAGCATATTCCAAAACTAGAGAATATTCCTTTTGTTTTGTTGTAGACAGGCATCTTCGGGGGGCGGAGAGAGGATTTCCCCCTTTGCAACTTAACCCACTCTAGCCGATGATATGTTTATAGAATTCTGCCATCAAGCCGGCCATATTCCACAGAAGACAACGAAAGAAAAGCTAAGAAGTAAAAAAGCAGTAAGTTCGGCCGGGACGAACTTTGAATACCCTCCAATATTTGCAGCGAATTTGGAAAATTTCAAAAAAAAAATCTTTAAAATTCTGTTGAAACCCTAAAAATACCGAATAGAGCCGTTAAATTGGGGTCTAGGGGCGAAGACATGGACCTGCATAGTCAATCATAAGCCATTAAAATATTCAGACAGGAAACTTGAAAAACATCTGGTGAATAATTTAGCTAAAATCATAAAAATACCGAATATAGGGAGACATGGACCTGCAAAGACAATTTTCTACCGCAGGCTGTAGTACCCATTAGGAACTTCAAGTACGAAATTTGAAACAATTCCGGTGAATATTGTACCTAGAATCATCAAAATACCGAATATAGGTAGGTACCGTCATATGAGGGCTATACGAAGACGTGGGCCTGCATAGACAATTATCTGCCACAGGCTGTAATACCCATTAAGAACTTCAAATATGAAATTTGAAACAAATTTGGTGAATTTTGTACTTAAAATCGTCAAAATATCGAATATCGAGGGGTACCGTTGTATGTAGGATATACGAAGACGTGGACCCGCACATGTAATTTTTTTGATAGGCTGTAGTACCCATTACGAATTCTAAATACGAAATTTGAAACAACTCCGGTGAATAGTGTCGCTAAAATCATAAAAATATCGAATATTGGGAGGTACCGTTATATTGAGGCTATTCGAGGAGGGCCTGTATAAACAATTTTCTGTCAGAGACTGTAGTTCCCATTACGAAGTCTAAATACGAAATTTGAAACAACTCCGATAAATAATGTCGCTAATATTGTCAAAATATGGAATATTGGGAGGTACCAATGTATGGGACCTATACGAAGAACTAGATCTGCATAGATAATTTTCTGTCACAGGCTGTAGTACCTTTTAGGAACTTCAGATACGAAATTTGAAACAAATCCGGTGAATAATGTGCCTAAAATCGTTAAAATACCGAATATAGGGATGTACCGATACATGGAGGCTATACGAAGAAGTGGGACTGCATAGACAATTTTCTGTCACAGGCTGAAGTACATTTTAGGAACTTCAGATACGAAATTTGAAACAAATCCGGTGAATAATGTGCCTAAAATCGTCAAAATACGGAATATTGGGAGGTGACGATATATGGAGGCTATACGAAGACCTGGGCCTGCATAGACAATTTTCAGTCACAGGCTGTAATACCTATTTGGAACTTCGAATACGAAGTTTCAAACAATTTCGATGATTATTGTACCTAAAATCATCAAAATACCGAATATAGGGAGGTACCGCTTTATGGGAACTATACGAAGATGTGGGTATGCATACGCAATATTTTGTTACAGGCTGTAGTATCCATTAGGAACTTGAGATACGAAATTTGAAACAATTCCGGTGAATAATGTCGATAAAATCATCAAAATACCAAATATAGGGAGGTACCGATATATGGGGGCTATATGATATCGTGGACCTATATAAACAATACTCTTCTAGGAGGTAAAGTACACAGAAGGAACTCTTTTTGTGGATTTTCAGACAATTTCATTTAAAAATGTGGCAAAATACCGGATATAGGGAGGTACAGTTATATGGGAGATATACGATATCGTGGACCTATATAAACAGTTTTCTTCCAGGGTGTAAAGTACCTACAATTTACTCCTTTTGTGGATTTTCAGACAATTCCATTAAAAAAATTAGCTACAATCATCAAAATACCAGGAAGAATAGAATCTGCTCAATTTCGAGCGGATTTTACTCTCACTCGAAAACGAGCAAGGCTTTCTGGCTTTTATTCCAGTGGTATAGATAAATAGAGTATACTCGACTTCTCAGTTTGTACTCGATTTCTCTTTGCAATACTTCCGCTCGAATTCGAGCAAGTTATACTCTTTACTCGAATTTGAGCGAGCATTTCAGAATGGGCTATATAGTGGACCGATATAGCCAATCTTCGAACTTGACCTGTCTGCAGACAAAAGACTGATCTACGCAAAACTTAAGCATCCTATTTTTATTCATTTTGACTCTAGAGTGATTACAACAGACGGAAGGACGGACAGGGCTAAATCTTGCCCTAGAATTTTACGCTGATCAAAAAAACATATACTTTG